CTTCTGAAAGACGTTCAACTCTCCCTAAATGTCATGCAAGGAAAGAGCTAGTTCCATCATTAGTAATACTTTGCACTTCTAGTGCACTTTCCAGCTGGGTGCTTCAAACCACTTTAAAGATGTAAACTAAGTCTCAAAACCCCTTTGTGAAATTATAGTATTCCTATTTTATAGACTGGGAAAATAAGTGACTAAACTTCAGACCTCCCAACTCCCAGGCTTAAGCCACTACATGACATTCCTGTGGGGGGGAGGGGGAATGGATAATAATGTCTCCACCTTGCAACACTTTTGATCCTGTTGTACAACATGGCATTGGTTTTCTGGCCTCTGAAATGCAAGCCCAGATAGTAAGTAAATTTGCAAGGAAACTGAGTGGTGGTGCAGGTTTTTGGAAGGAGGAGCTGAGGATTATAAATAGTAATACCAGAAAGGGCAGGGCAGAACACACTGAATAAATAGAGCATTGATGGGATTAATATGGAATAAGACTACCTAATTGATTTGTTTTTTATAATTACATGTTACAGTTGACCTAATACAGTCTGATAAGGCAGTGGGGGAAGTTTTTCCAGCAAAATATAATTTGGAAGGTATTGATTGGTGTATATAACACACATGTAGAGAATGTGCACCTGAAATACTCTACATTTGGCCAAAGTAGGACTAGAGCATATTTTTCCCTCCCAGTATAATTCCCATTATTAATAAGAAGTGTGTGCCGCAAGGGGGAGTATACTTTTACATTTTCTTGAGACCTGCATAACCCCCAAGTCAGTTTTAAAAAAAGACCTGAATTAAATGCTCAGGAAATCTAGACTCAATGGTACTTATCCTTTTGTGTATGCATGTAATTAAGCATTAGCTCCTTTTAAGATGATTGTGTAGAGGAGAAACTACAACTCTAGAGACTAATGCAGTCCTAGGCTGACTAGTTCGAAGGTCTGTATCCAGTATTATGAAATGGATTTACTCATGCTGTTCTAAGTTTGTATTTGGCATGAAATGGCAACCTGTATAATTTACAGTACCTTTGAAAAGAAATAAGAATAATTTATTCAGTGTTGAACACCTGGTTAGGCCTCTAGGCATTCTGCAGGGCCACTTTGTGTTTCATTCCAGCTCTAATATTTTTGACAAAATCAGTGGGGTTTTTTTGTTTTTGTTTTGTTTTTAACCATTTCTTTGTCATGTGTCCTTCGGAGTGAAATATTATCCATGCATCTGTCCAGACTGGGTTGGCAAAATTCTCTGCTATGGCAAGTGGGCAAAATTGTTTAAGTCAGTTGACTTGTGCCCATTTATCCCAGCAGAGAATTTGGTCCTAGATTTCCATGTCCTCTAATCCTTTCCTCCAAAATTGCCCTATATCAGATGGGTCAAAACTAGAGTTGTTTGGGAACTTTTTTTGCCAAAATGGTGTTTTGTTGAAAAATGCTGATTTGTTTAAACCAAAACTTTTTGCGAATATCTTGACTGGAATTTTGGGGGTGGGGGGGGTAGAGAAAACCCCACAAAAACACTGACATTTCAAAATGAAAATTCCAGTTCAAAGTGACTGTTTTTAAATTTAAGTTTATTGGAATAAAAAAATTGGTCAAAATTCAAACCAAAAAATTGACTGAACTGATTTTTGACTTTTTTCCCCTCAAATTTTTATGAATTTGATTCTGGATGGGATTTTTTTTTATTTTTTTTGTAATATCTCAAATTTTCACGAGGTGGGAAAATAGTGTCCCACTCAATTCCTTTCAGAACTGCTCATCTTCATCTGATGGGGCCTATACTGCTGTCAGCTAAGGGAGACTGTCCTTGAATTCATGGGGTAGGAGACAGTGCTTTGGTAGCAGGAAGTTCTATCCCTGTTGTCACACCTCTGCTGCTCACTCTAGTATTGCATTGAGTAGGCAAATGTGTAACTCAAGGTGGCTGGGGATTTGTTAAAGTTTGTTATGCTCTTAGTTTTGTATGGACTTGAATATGTTGGGTGAAATCCTGACCCTATTCATATCAATGGAAGTTTTGCCATTGACAGCTGTGGGGCCAGGATTTCATCTGTTGTTGTTAAGCCAGCAGTGGCTCCACAGCAGATATTGAAGTAAGTGCAAAGATTCTGAATTGAAGGAACTGGTAATCTGGTTTATGCAGTTGTCACATAAGCCTTAGATAGCATCACTGGGCTCTTTAGCCGATCTCCATCAACCCCACATCAGAAAGTCAGAGCACTTTTTATTCTATCGTGGATAGATTAAAGCAATGATAGACCTGAATGAATGCATCTGGACCCCGGATTCAAGGTGCTTTTACTGGACCTAATTATAAGTCAGTTGTCTGGAGAAACTGCTTGCTGTGGAAATGCCATGCCTTGTAGTTTAGACAATTGTGTGTGTTTATGTGAGAAGGCTGTGTTGAACTTATGCATAACACTTCTCTCTGTCTCTTCTCCCTCCCCCTCTTTGTTATAGGCTTGAGTGTAGCTTTGAATATCCAGAAAAAGCTCTCCAGGCAGATTAGGGGCATAGACAGATTTTAAACAGAGCCTTAATGCATGGACACAAAAGGACAAATATACCAGTGGGAACACTAATGCAAATACTCTGCCTTTGGATCAAAATATATTAAACATTTGCTTAGGAACAAAGGGTTCTTTTTAAGTAACTATATTAACATTGAAGGCTTTTAAATTCATTTTCGTAGGAGAAGAAACACTTTTTAAAGTGATGTTGTAGCCAAAAAAGGGATACCTACATTACTAACCCTATTTTTATTATTCATACAATGGTATCAGGTAGCAATTCTGCAAAGGAGAATCCGTATTAATTGCTCTTTCCAGGACTCAGAGAATTGGACAATTGCAATTTACTTCAGATACACTTTTAGCATCTTTCATGTACAGTTGTATGAATACTATTCTGAGAGCAGTAAGAATGGTTTTGATTTGAGTGAGCTGCTATTTTCATTTTAAATATATTTTTAGTTACACTATTTTAGTGAGTAGGATATTATGTTACTGATTTCAAGAAGACCATATAGTAAAAAAAAATAAATCTAGTTTATTGCATGGAAAAGCAATATTACATATATTGGGCTATATGTAAGTAGCTCATGTAAGTAGGTGGAGCTCCACTGGAGTGGAGTTGGCCAATTATGACTCATGTTTTGGACGGGTCACTGTTGCGTTGTATAATCAGAACACAGTAATATCACAGGCAAGACTCTATTTTAAACATTGAACAAGTTGCTACTTAATATTAGTGTGTGTACACTAAGGGTTGTTGCAGTTTAAAAAACAGTAAGCATTTAAAAGTATGAAAATGAGCAGTTAATGGCAGTTAAATCCATATTCAAATTACCTCACGTTTCATAGAGTTGCTGAAATAAATGTGCAAGTGTAAGTGATCACACTGCCCATTTACAAAACCTTAAGTCTGACCTCATGTCCCTATCCTACCTCTGCCTATAAACGGGAAACACTGACTGCCATCTGCTCCACACCACGTACATTTCTGTGTGGGCCATAAACTATCACCCACCCACCCACCACATATGGCCCACAGACCATCAGGCCAGTGATTCTAGTGTCTTTGATTTTTATTAGTATTTTACATTTATGTGGCAGTAGCACCTAAAGGTCCCAATCCCATTGTATTCAGTGTTGTACAAACGCATAAGAAATGGCAGTCCCTACCTCAAAGAGGTTACAATCAAAGCAAGTCTGACCCTTCCCACCCCAACTTCCCACTCTAGTCAAGATGCCACAATGTACAACTGTGTAGTCTCTATGTACAGTCCAGTAATGCTACCATTTCCCCTCCACAATTCCAGTGTGATGTAAAAAGGCCAGTATTACTTGGAGTAATCACTCAGCCCTACCTTCTCCGGTCTGTCAACCTCTTGCTTCTTCTTTTGTCCCTTCCTTGCCTCTGACTGTCAGTTTCTTTCATCAAGCCCTTCTCTGCAGTCTTCAACCAATCCATCCACTGCCTCATCCCCAGCCCCCCTTTGCCTCCAAGCATCTTAAGCAATGTCTAGACCTGGTGCCTCTACTTTTGCTCCCTAAACACTTCCTTGGATCCCATGCAATTTGGCTTGCCCCCTCTCGGCCCTACTGAAACAGTTTTTAATAAGGTCAGTAATGTGCTCTTTCCGCTGGCCAGTTCTAAGGGCTTGTTCAGTGCAATCTGCCATTGACCGGACAGTGAATCACGCCCACTGTGCATCTTTTACATTATATTAGTAAGTCTCCTTATAGCTCGATATGTAAGTGTGATCTATAGGATAGTATAATTATGTAATACAGAAGGCTTTGGGATTCTTTCAGGATTAGATGTTTTATCTAACCTTACATTGTTTTTCAGCAATGTCCATGGTAAAACCACACTCTGCAGTTTGTAGCTTGGATTTAAATTTTAAAGGGAACAAATCCCTCTGAAAATCCTACTGCTGTGTTAGGACATAAATGGCAAGCCTGCACGCTGTGTGTATTAATATGTGGAGATTAAGTTTATCTGACAGCAAGACCAGTTGGACTCAGAACAAAATAGTGCTTATTTAAGTGCTTAATATGCTTTGGTCCCTGGAGAGATCTCCACTGGTTATAATGAAGCTTTCCCCTGCTCAAGAACCTGATGAGCTTTAAGATTTTTTGCCCTGTTTCTTTGGAGGTATTCTATTAAGAGGAAATGCCCAAGGACAAGCAGTTTTTTAAATATTGCATGTTTCTTTTAATAGAAGGAAAAATTAGTGCCTAGCTGTGCAGAATTCCAAAGTCTGTTTTACAGTTAAGAAAGTTATATTTTTTGCTGTCACTAACCTGGTGAGAGTACTATCCTATGACTACTTAATTTTTATTTGTGATATACTCATGGCTGTTTAAAAAGAGAGAGATGGCGATCTTCATTTGGATTTACACTGATTTGAAGTATTTAATTTATTGCTTTCAAAAAGGAGATAAATTGATGGACACGAATAATATTTTAAAATCCCTCCACTAGGTGGCACCAAAGTTCTGGAACTTGAAGAGTTCCTATTGCCACAGAAATCTGCGGATTCCTTTCTGTAGTTGAACATCAACATTTCATCTTCAGAGACTGCTGCCTCAGGTAAATATTCACATTCCTAAAGACAGTTCTACACTTACATAGATCACAGTCGGTATTTCCCTTTTAATGCTCCTGAAAGCAGAATCTTTGTTTCCCTATTTGGGGTTATAATCCACCATTAGGTGTTGTGGTGATGGCTGTGATGCAGTGGACATGATTTAGGTTTCATGAAAGGAATAAGCCACTGGATCTGAATCCCTAAGCAACCAAGCTTCTGTTTTTTCTAATACAAGTTTCATTTAATTTTAATTAAATAAGTCAGGGGAAGAACTCTGAGAGAACATAAGCAAAGTTTTCTAAATAGAATGTTTTCCCAAGAGGTGTTGGCGGCTCTCTAAAAGTTAGAAGTGATTAGAGAATGCTTCTTAGGTTTGTTTATTTTTTATTTGCTCCTGTCATGCACCCACTTGGAATTGATCCAATTTTCAGAAAAAAAATATCAGATCACATTGTTATTTCAAGAACCACACAAGACAAGAGAAGGGCGAAGCTTTGGTCCTTTACAAACACAGCAGTGCTTTTGTATCACCCACTCTCATAGGGAGGCACACATGATGCTATTCTTAGCCCCACCGAACAGATAGACCACTGGACTGAATGGGGATGAATAAGGCCACAAGATACGGCCCATTGTGCACATACATTAGGTTAATACATAGGAGTCAGAATAAGTGCAGCTTAAAACCATTGTTCAGTGCTAGAAAAAAAGTCATTTTTACACACGCACATTCATGGGCCCCCAAACATGCAGAGTTAGATGAAGGATCCTTTAACAATGTAGGATTTGAAAAGTCCAGTAAGGTGTTGAATCCCTCCAATAACCAGAGTGAGAGCGGCATATAGTACGCTGCTAACTTACCCAGCCCTTGGCTTAGTCTTAACTTCAAGCTTCACCAGCTCCCACTCCATGTGAAGTCACCAGCATACAGTATGCTGGAACATCATATGCCCTGCTGAGTCAAGAGTCATAAGGCGGGGCGCATTTTGCACGCAACTAAGTTTAGTACTCATGAAAGATGATAGATCAACAGCTTTGGATGGTAGGCTTCCATTTAACTGCAGAACTATTACAGGCTGGGCAGTGACAATGCCTGCTATCCCACATTGCCTGAGCAACATGCCTCCTACCTGGTCTGGGGACTATTTATAGCCATGAAAAGTATCTCTGTGTCTATCTGTTCAGTGTTGGGCCTCTCAACTGAGATTCCAACAGTTGTGGTGGCTCTTTGCAATGTGGATTAAGAGATCCACCAGCTGGGTGGGCATCACATGGGCAGCAAAGCAGTTGCTATGTTAAGGGACAGTGGTTAAAATTTTCCAAAGTGGCTTTGGCATTTAGTAGCTAGCGGTCATTGAAAAACTCAATGGGACTTACACATCTAAGCATCTATTGCACTTTTGAAAAATTTTACCCACTAATAACCAACAGTGTTAACTTGCTGTTAAAACTCATTCAGTAGCATAATATTAAAAACATGGAGAGCAAAACAGACTTCAGTAGTCTGGTTCTAGTGTGCAGTGAGGTTTCCTGGCACATATGATATCACCTGCAAAGAGCGTGAAGTCGGGATCTAAGAAAAAGCTACTCCATATGTTTACAGAGAACTTTCCTAGGGTAGTATATGTGCCCTTGCTTTAATGATGTGCTGAACAGACCGTCTTACCCTTGTTCTTTGAGGCATCCAGCACATTACTGGAAAGTAGCCAGATTTAAAATATAGGCAATTGAAGGATAGGTCAAATTTTTAACCTTAAAAAAAAAAAAAAAAAAAAAAGTGGGTTGAAGACAACTAAAGGATTAGAGGAAAAATTCTTCAGAGCCACAAAATAGATCTCCGCTCCAAAATTCTGCTTTCTTCACGTGTTCTCATCTTCCATTGATGACAGTTGGAGTTTGACATAGGTATGGAAAGCAGACTAGACAACTGGAGACGCACACTGCAGATTTAAGAAGAGAATTGTGCTCTTGGAGTAGCTGCTTGCCCATATCTGCAAAGGGTCTATTCCCCCCCCCCCCGGTTCTGGTTTGTTTCCTTTATTTATTTACAAGTAGCCTCTCTTGAGACAATTGCAGGTGTTGAACTAGGCTGGCCTGCATTTTGCTCTTCCATTAGCTTGCACCTTTTGTAATAAATAATCTGTCTGCTCCCTGCAATGCAAACTGGAGGGATATTCCTCTTCTGAAGCAGCTGTGCTGGAGAAACTGCTGATGAAGAACAAAATGGGAGCTACTGAGCAATCATTTGGAAACTGGCTATTAAAAAAAAAAAAAGCCAGCTAATTAGAGCTTTGCGGAAGAGACAGCACTTTGTGCAAAACACCAGAAGGTAATCTCTCCAAATCCCATACACTGCCTCTTAAAAAGCTATAATTAACCTCGTAGTATTCACTTTATGAATTAAAATTTAATTAAATATTTTCTGTCCTTAATGAACATATTTTTTCAGCCAGGAAAACCTACTGACAGCTGTATTTCCTAAGAGCAGCAACAACATGCAGGGGACAGATAGACTAAATGAGGGCCCTCAGTCCTGCTCCAACACAATGGATGTAAAATTGGCTACCGAATAGCTGATTTTTTTTTTTAAGCTCATACCTGCCTCCAGGTGAGGTTGGAAAGTATTATCCCCATTTTACAGATTGGGGACCGGGGCATGAGCGGCTAAGTGACTTGCCCAAGGTCACACAGGAAGTCTGTTACAGGGCAGGAAATTGACCCTGGTCTCTTAAGTCTCAGGCCAGTGCCCCAGCCACTGCGCCGTTCCTGCTGTCCATGAATTGTATGCTCCCTGAATTTGCCAACACACAAAGCAGTGCTGAGTAATTGGAGTGATGATGTGGGAACCCCCACAAACCAATTGCCCCTCCCACAAGGGGCAGAAAATGGTCTTTATGCCTCATACCTTTCCAAACAGAGATACACAAACAAGGCTTTCCTCAAACAGTAAAGGGGGTAGGGTGGGAAGTGGGAAAGGGGAAGAGACGAGTGCAACATCCTGATCTTACATTTACAACGTTTGCTTCATCATGATGGTGCAACCAAAATGGCAATGTTGAGTCACAACTACACATAATCCTGTGTTGACACATCATGAAACAAACCTGATCTGTTAGAATACTGTACGTATGTTACATAGATTTCAATACAAATAAAGGTGATGGTACTAGAGTGCTGCAATTCTTTTGTAATGCAAGTTAACACTAGATGAAACTCAAAGGTTCATATAGTTCTAGACATGACAGATCTTTTAACTATTGCAGTGCTCCTGGGACTATCTCCATTTGTATCCATCACGCAGCATTATTTCCTTACTTTAAAAAAAAAAAAAAGCTCAATGAAAATTTTTTCATGGGAATCAAGAAAAAAAATTTCTTCCAGAATCCAGCAGCCCCTCTGATTTTTATAGAAAGAGAAAGTAGAAAGAACATGGCTAAGTTTTGAACTTTATCTCCAGAAATACAAATATCAGGTCTAAATAGCAAAGCAATTATGTTACATAAGTGTTAGTCATTTGTACTAACCTGTGATTAAAAATTCACATGTCTCAGCAGTTGCTCTCATCTTTTTCTGAAATTACATTTTCCATTTCTGAGGCTTGACCTCGGGCAATGGATTTTTGAAGCAATCATGTCTTGATAATTTATTAATGTTAAGTATAAACATTGCAACTTTAAGAGAGTGCTTTGTTTAATAAATACCCAGCAATCGAATGTAACAAGAGGAAATGCAAATAACGTAGACTTCTACTAGAAGTTGCAGTTTTCACAGGCACTGTACTCTGAGCTCTCAACTATAACAAGTTTTATTTTCCATTGCTGTGTGTGGGTGGACAATAGGGTATTTTCTTTTTGTTGTTGCAGTTACTAACACTGCTAAACTGTCAGTTGTCCATACCTTAGAAAGCTTGTAATGTCCTGGTGGGAAGCATTAATTCATTATAACTTGAAAGAGACTAGGTTTTGTTGAATTATGTGTAGTGATGGTAGCTGAAGAATTGCAAAGAGGTTTGGAAAAAAGGGAAAGAGATAACAGGAAGAGACGAAGAATAAAATCTTTCTTCTCCTTTCTGCCCCTTGACTTGTCTCCCCTCTGCATTTTCTTTCTAAAAGTGGCCCAACCTCCTCCTTTCTAGATTTTTGTCCAGTTAGTCTTATTTATGTTGTTTAAACCATTCTGGTTAGGGCATAAGTAATTGGTCCAAGGGAATGGAGGGGGAGGAGTTTGTTAATTCTTGTATCTAGGCTGCCTAGCTGTCATGGTGATAGGTATCACAAAAATTAGTGAAATTTAAATAAAAAAAATAAAGGGCCAAATCATTCCCTCCTGCTTCAAAAACTTGTGGGAGGGGAAGAGCTAAGTGGAAAAACTCTACCGTTTTGTGGAGTTCCCCGCTGATTATCTCTTTGGGTGCAGATGGGGATTCCGGGGCACATGCAAATATACAAAGAGCCAGAGGATCCTCAGGACATCTGAGGAGGTCTAGGACACTTCAGTGATTTTTATGATACTGCCCCTCTCCCATCCCCTGTGGCAGCAAGTCCCCACTGTTTCACTGTCAGGGCCAAAAATCCTCTTTAGTGTAGGGGTGAGCTTTGAGAGTGCAGAATGGGAGTCCACGTAACAGTATCTGAATGTTCATCTTCTGAGAAGTCCCACACATTTGGGGAAGCTCTGCCCCCAGAAACTGCAGAGACAGCCCTTCCCCACCCACACAGATCACAGGTAGGTGCTTCTCTAGCATGGCAGTAAAGAGAGTAGGACACAATGCCACAGGTTCAACCCTCTTCTCCGAACTTAAGGGCCTGATCCTGCTTTGATTGAAGTCAATGGCAGAACTCTTAATGGAGGTCAGTTGGAGGAGGATCAGATGCAAACTTTGGATTCAGTTTTGCTGTTTTTTGGAGGGCAGAAAAACAAACAAACAGGAATTTGTTATTCAACCCAAAGCTGTCAGATCTGTAGGGCAAGCTCAGAAACAGATTCCTTTGGTGCAAAATTT